CCTACGGTCGTCTGCATGAGTTCGGATAAGAGAGGTGATCTATTTTAAAGAACTTTATCCATAGACTTTGTGGTCAAGTAATAAGTAAAGTCCTGAGGGAATTTCTCACAGAAACCAGTCATTTTGAAACTTACTGGCACAGAATACGAGCAAGAGAAAAATGAGGATGCGAGTGGCACGTATGGTTAAAAAACAGTGGCGAGGCAAATTTATTTTTCGTCTTAAAACGGTCAAGTAAACCTTTACAACCAATAATACGATGAAAAACATCCTGCCGAGCAGATCTTAAAAGAAAAGGGAGATTTAGTGAGAGCAGGACGTTCACTCATGGGTAGGTGCGAGGAAGGGCGGGGGGCTTGGGACACAATAATCGCAATAAAATAAAACCCTCGAGTGTCTGCCGCGGACGGACTTGTCATGCCAGGTTATCAGCGACTCGCCTCGTGCCTACCCTCTGGCCGTTACTGCGCGCCACCGGGCTGCGTTCAAAAAAGCGCGAAATCTCCACGTCCCTCTCTTTCTTTATCGCTCTTCAAGCCGTTCAGAGCGTATCAACAAAGTGAGAGGGACGCCAAGCCCCGGCTGCCTCCGCGTCGGTACAAACCAATACAAATATTGTGCCTTTGTCGCTCTCGAGAGGACCGGGGCTATCATTCAACCTCATTTTGTGGTCGCGTGAAATTGCGAAATTTCGCGGTTGAATTGGAATCTGAGCGAGCGGCGGCGCAGCGGAGGCGTGCCTCTCGGCGTGCCCTCCACAGCCGGGCGGGTCGCTGCGCCTGGCCTTCAGCGGGCCTGGCCTTCAGGCCGGGGCTGTGCGCTGCCCCTGTGATGGTCAAAAGCCTCCACCACCCATAATCCCCTCGGTTTGAAAGTGTAGTCTTTCGTTTGAAGTGTTAGCGATGTACGAGAATGTCGCAGATCTCGAGAGCATTTGGAAATGCTGGAGTTACGTGTCGCTCCATTTAAAGCGATGTAAACTGGAACATCGCTCCACGTGAGTAATTGTGGAATTGGTACTCAAATAGAGAGTTGAAACCAACACTGGAAATGCGAGCTTATGCCTTTGTTAAAAGCGAGGGGGCAATAACTCCGAATTCAAAGTGTACACATGATTCCCGTTGATTCCCATTGATTCCCGTCGTGATTCACATAGATTTCCGTTGATTCCCGTCGTGATTCTCACTGATTCCCGCTGATTCCCGGGACGGTGTGTACACATGATTCCCGGAGTTATTGTCCCCTCGGTTAAAAGGAACAAAAGTGTCCAAAGGCATTAAAATTCAGTACCTTTGGACAGTTTTCACGCCTTTGTTGGGGCGCTAATTTTTAATGACTTTGTCGACTTTGTGAAGGCATTAAAAACCCGTGAGTCCTTGATTTACATATGATACACCTTTGTTTTTTTCCAGAGAGGCGTCGCTCTCCCACGAGAAACAAAATTGGAAGCAATGCGTCGCTCCTCCAAGAGCGACGCGCGTGACTCCTGTATTCTCAGTGAGGAAACGGGAAAGTTCTTTATCATAAGACTGATTTGAAGGTAAGTTTGTAGTTGAACATGAGGAACAGGAGGGCCAATATTGCTATACCTAAATCATATGAGCCACGAGAAACATCTCGCGAGAGGTATTAAACGTCCCGCGCCCCACCACCCCCCGCCAAGCCCCGCCACGCGCCGCACCTGCGTGGGCAGTTGCTCCTGCTGTGCGGGCGGAGGGGCGGGCCCTAGGAGGGGCTGACGCGGAAACCGACGAGCCGGGGGCAGCGGGGGGAGGGGGGGGGTATTTTATGGGCAACTTTAACTCTATACGGAGCCAGTGACTCGGAGATACATGCAACTTTCGTCAATCGGACTAATGGAACTTCCCCCGT